TTGTGAACAAAGCCTACACATCGTTTTCATCATAAGAATCTCTTTGAACCTATTTGTGTCAAAACATTAAGATTAAATTTATCATTGCTTAACAATTATTTATTAATCTAGGCAAGCAATTCTTGTACCCCTTATGATTTCACATCAACCTTAGAGTGGTCCACTTTGCAACACAAAGGAGATCCAATTTTTTCTACAATATTGAGTCAAGGGAAGAATTAATACAAATTTATATTTTAAGACAACCATTAAAAAAGCGGACGAGGCGTCCGCATTGAGTCGCGCCTCAAGTCGAGGCGGAAGTCATGCATATCGGGGCTTACGCCTCAAACCATCCAGCGAAGCCTACGATTTTTTCGCATGAGGCATACGCATTAGAGCGTAACGCCTCGAGGTAGTATGAGACATCGCCTTGAAATTTTTTTCTTTGGTATATATGTAAATACGATGCAGCTGATTCGTCTTCGTGTATTTGCGTATAGGATTAGGGCTTCTTGTGAGAATTGAAAGGCGGACTAGAGGAGAAGCCGTGAGGGAAAGAAACGAATCTGTGAGGGAAGGAGACGAAGCCGTGAGTGTAGGAGACGAAGTCGGAAGGAGACGACGCAGGGAAAGAAATGAAGTCGAAGTTGTGAGTGCAGGAAACGTTCAGGCATCGGTTAGGTCGGAAGAGCAGGTACGCGGTGTTGTGGCCTTGACTTTGACGTGCAGTAACGAAAGCTTGAATAACTCCTGATTCGGCTTTCTTTCATTCGTCCGCTCAGTACATGCTCGGTACCGAGCAGGTACAAGCTCGGTACCGCTCAGTACATGCTCGGTACTACTAGGTACATGCTTAGTACCAAGCCAGTACTGCTCGGTACCGAGCAAGTACATGCTCGGTACTTAGTGGTACATGCTCGGTACTGAGCGGTACATGCTCGGTACTAAGTGGTACATGCTCGGTACGCTCGATATTGAGCATATACAACAAGCAGAATTTTAAAATTACTCTTATAATATAATTTTGTTCCAGGGGCGCCCCCGGAAACCCCCGCAGGGGCGCTGCCCCTTGACCCCGCTACCTGACCGGGCAGCGCCCCCTTGGACCCCCGACAGACTGGTATATTTTTGTATTCCTGTTGTTTTATTATTGATAGTACAAATAATTGTTAAAATATATCCTATTGTTATCATAACTAGTGGCACAAGAAGGAAATATCCTACATTGAAATATGGAACTCAAGTTGAAGTGTCAGGCGAAGGTACAAAGAAGGGATATGTTTACATGAAATGTAATTTCTGTGAGAAACGCATAACTGGTGGCGTCAAGAGATTGAAGGATCATCTAGCCTGCACTCATGTTAATGTGGGACCATGTGCAAAAGTTCCTGATGAGGTGAAAAAGGAATGTACAAATTATTTAAAGAAGTTTGCCACCACAAAGGAGGTCACACAAAGAAATATGGAAGAGATGATAGGAAACTCTTCTTACTATGGATCACAGCATGAAGGTTTCAGTACTAGAAGCCATCTAGTTTCTTCTGACCGAGGCAGTCGGGGGCCCATGGATAGATTTATGCTAAATATTGATAACGAGGAAAACATAAATACTCAGGATATTCAACCTCCTACAGCTACAAAAGAACTCAGGAACAGAGTTTGTTTGGATATCGCCAAATTCATCTATGAAAATGAGATTCCATTTAATGTTCTTAAGAGTCCGTCGTGGATCAATATGTTATGATCTGTTGGAAGCTATGGAAGAGGATTACAACTTCCAAGCATGTATGAGCTGAGGACTTGGATGCTGAATGAGGAGGTTAAGACAGCTTCAAAAATGGTGGATGATGTTAAGAAGACTTGGATTGAGACAAGAGTGACAATAATGTCAGATGGTTGGTCAGATATTTGACATAGAAATATTATTAATTTCTTGGTCAACAATCCATATGGAACAGTTTTTCTCAAATTAGTAGATGCTTCAAGCTTTGTAAATGATGCACAATTATTGTTTGAAATATTGGATAAAGTTGTGGAGGAAGTGGGAGATGCCTTAATAGTATAGGTTGTTACTGATAATGCAAGTGCATACAAAGCTGCAGGAAGAATGTTAATGGAGAAGAGGCCTCACCTTTACTGGACTCCTTGTGCTGCACATTATATTGACTTGATGCTTGAGAGGTTGGGACAGTTGTCTCAACATAAATCAGCCATATTGAAGGCCAAATTCGTTAGTAAGTTTATATACAATCATTCTTTGATACTTAGCTTGATGAGAAAATTCACTGACAAGGAAATTATTAGACCTGCTGTTACAAGATTTGCTACTGCATATTTAACATTGCAGAGATTCAAGGAGTTAAGACAACCTTTGGAAGCAATGTTTGCTTCTGAAGAGTGGGATAAAAGTTCATGGGCCAAAAAACAAAAAGGAAAACAAGTTAAAAAGATTGTTATGAAAGATAATTCATTTTGACGCAGTACAAATTATGCTTTGAAGACAACAGGACCATTAGTAAAGGTGCTTAGAATGGTTGATGGTGAGAGGGCCCCGGCTATGGGATTTATTTATGAAGCAATGAATAGGACTAAAGAAGACATTGCAAAAGAATTGGGAGGTCAAGAAAGTGCCTACAAAGAAATATGTGATATTATAGGAGTGGAATACAATCTGATGATGAATGAGTTACTCCTAAGAATGCTGATGTATTTGAAGTTGAAGCAGAAGGAGATGAAGAAGACAATGAAGCAACTACCCAAGTATATAAAAGAAAGAAACAAAATGAGATTAGAGCTTCAAAAAAATTTAAAGGTATTCTTAAATAAAATAAATTATTTTGTATGTTACTATTGTTTCATTTTAGAGCTAATGAAATATTAACTGATATAGGAGATAAAGGAAAAAATATTATAGATGAAGAAGAGTTGGAGGATGACTTTGACATTAATTATGAAGATTCTTCCGAAGACAATCAAAGTGATGATGAGCCTGCTTTGGGTCTTGATCCTAAGTGGATGTTTTATTTTTGAGTTTGTTTATTTTAAATCTTGTATTCCAGTAATATTATCTTAAAACAGATCTTCAAATTCATAGTTGACATAATATTATGTTATTTTTTGTCATTATTTATAATTTTAAATTAATTTATTTTAATCGTTTTGAGGCTTACGCCTCGATCCGCCAAAGGTTTACGCCTCGCCTCGCTTAGAAAAAACGCCTCAATTCCCGATTTCATCTTTTAAAACCTTGTTTTAAGATAGCATATCTGAAAAATATACCTTCTCAACTAGGGTTTCACGAGATCTGAAAAACAATTCCAATCAGCTATGTTTTTGGAGAGCACGAAGAAGACCTCTCAATTTTAATTCTCTATAAAGCTGAGAAGCTATAGGATTTCAACATTAACGAGTAGTATTAACTTGAGTCCTGGTTAACTTTATACTGATGGTCAATATCTTGTTGAGATATGACCATCTTGTATTTGAGAGTTTTATTTGGATTCTTCTTTGTTATTATGTGAGATTAATTAAAATTTGAGAAGGGCTCGTGAGTGTTCCTTCATTGTGTACATCAAGTTTGTAGTTTCCTCTCTTTTCTCCAGTGGGCATAGGCTTGATTAAAGCAAAAACCATGTAACTCCTAATATCTTTCTATGTATGATCTATTTTCTATTTTAATTTATAGTGCATTTTTCTGCACTTGTAGTAACGTTTATGAAATGAAGATTTGGCGCTCTCATTACAACATCTCTCTTTTTATATCTTTCTACATCAACTATTTAAGACTTCCACAAAACTTCATTTCGGCTCTCTACACCAATTTGGGAATTGTCATCAACAAGAAAACCAATTTCTTATTCATAAGTCGCAACCACCATAGTCCATGCATTCTCTTCCCAAGACCCTATATGGCTCATAATTAACTCCATCCAAACCCTTATCATTTCCTTAAACCTAAACGCCCATACATTATCTAATACCTATCCCACATTCAATCCACATTTTGGAGAATTTTCTGAGCCATTCCTCCCTCTCTCCATCCTTTCCTCCCTCCCTCCCTATGAATCTACCCTACAATTCAAATTTACAATAAATTATTGAAATCGATAAAATTTGATTCAAAAACTCTAGAATAAAAATCCCTTTTTAGAGATGTTCTATCGTTTCAATGGGATTTATAGTTAGGCGTTTCTATTAATGTGTTACAGATGGTGACGTTTGTCCACTTCATTTTCCTTTACGAGAAAGTGATCCATTCATCTTTTCTTCTGAAAAAGTTCACTTCATCTCTTCTTCTTAGAGATGTTTCCCCAGGAGATGTCGTGCTTTAGTATTTTTAGTATCATTGTCATTGTATTTATTTAATTAGTTCATGATCATGGGCAATGGTATCATTTACCAGCTTATGATATGTTTAATCTTATCTTGTAAAATCTTCAATTATAAATAATGGAGATTATGATTATTAGAATAAAAATTATGCTCAGCATTTCCCTACTCTTCAGCTTGAGCGTCTGATTCTTCTCTTCTAGTTTCAACTTTCAAGGCTTCCACAAATCTACTGGCGTGTCACCCTACAGTATACCAACTTTCAAACTGCTCTTACAAGCATATCACACAAGCTTGCAAACACTCACCAAAACCTGACTGCATTGTTGGAACTAAGCACGTCAACTGTAAGAGTAGATGACTTCCTACAAGAAGGGTGGAGATCTAACGAGAGTATCAAGTAGTTATTTAGAGCTTGATATTTAAAAGGTATGAACAAAGCATCATAAGTGAATTTTGAATCCTGTATTCAACAAGCACACTTGGAAACTCTAGCAAGTGAGGAAAATACATTTCCATTGCACCGATAGGAATAAAAAACATCCATGAAAGAAAAAGACTGAAATAAAATAGCATTATATATTTAACAGAAAAAAATAGAAGCGCTCCAACCATGAAAAGACCATCGCAAAACCACCAAATGAAAACATCACAAATAATAATTTCCACCCACAACAGATGGGAACTACCTGGCTTAGAAGCTTCGGCTTGTCTACTGTTGAAAATGTTATCTCATGCATTTGCCTGCATCATTATCAGAACTGGTATTAGAAGTACCTACTTTATATCAATTTATATCCATTCATTTATGTTCTTTGTTGACCATTTAACAAAAACTACCACCCATTATGCTGAAGATATAAAAAGCAACAAGCAGTCGAAATGTTTTCATGCAGAGTTTCAGCTGCTAACCAGAAGTATAGATTTATTAAATGTTGTTAGATTATGAAAGTTTTCATATCAATATTATTCATCTTGATGACGGTGGCATATTAATAGATTATTTAAATTGTTAACCACATTAAGGTGAGAACCACAATTTCATTATTTTACACATCAAAACATCTATGATCCAATAAAGAACAACCACACATAAAAATTAAAGTTAATCTCAAAAGAAAGAGTAAAAGTGAATATGTGTGCTAAAAAGATGAATTGGTTTTGCAAAATAGAATTGCTTGGATTTTCAAAAAGAGTGCAACCTGCATGGGTAGTAACTTTATTTAAGTTCCTATCTCAGGGAACATCCAGAATTTCCGTAGCTCAAGATTTAATGCTCAAATTTCTCTTCAAAAGGATGAATGGTCTTAATTTCAGTTTGAAGAACATAATTAAAAAGTTTGTAAATGGGAAAATTTTGGACATTCCCCTCCTAGCAGAAAACAAAATCCATAGCGGATCTGATTCAAGGAAATTATTCTTGGAAAACTTATCAAAAGAATACATAGAATACAATGATGTGCAGTAAAGTATTAGGTGAGACAGCTTGAAAAATGCATGGTACACAGTTATCTGCAGTTTGTCAATTATAAGAGTGCATGAATGAAAAACCGACTTCGGTAAGGGTAACATAGCGTTTGAGACACTGTCTTCATCTTGAATGTATTCTTTGCTGGCTCCAAGAGCAAGACTCTCAAGGCTTGTTGACGAACCAAATGTTAGTGGATGATGAATACTGCAATATCATTACAGAAATGTGTCAAAAGAATTGTACAAATCGAATGAGAAGAAATCAATTGAAGCTTAAGGTTAATGAGTTCAACCAATGCACCAAATCTCAAATACACAAGGAGAGCAATAAATTGTCAGAAATATGTAACGAAATTGGTAGTAAATAAGAATAAAGAGCCATGTTACTTCAGCTCAAAAAGAATCCCAGATATTTGAAATATTTCCATGGCTGGAATACACCATAGAGGAAATCAATTAAATTTATCAGAAGTTCAACCCAATACTTCATAGCTTGAAAATCTTCGTTTATTTCTTCTGGAAACAACTTGGGTAAAGGGGACAGCAATTATGAAATATACATAATTCCATAAAACAAACTTCAGCGTTCAGCTTACTTGTCTATTATGAGTATGTATAACTTCAAACATGAAACTTAGCAATAACGCTAAACAGTACAATCCATAGCAGACAATACTTCATTCAAGCAAATATCTTACAAAGTGTTTCTTCCAGCACGCGAGTTACAGACGAAGGAATTACCACAAGACATCTGCATAATAAAATTCCTTATCAGAGTAATAGATATTGAATTACGAAAGCAACTACTTAAGAGCTATGTGAAGTTATAATTTTCTGTTTCAGATGAAATGCTTTAAATTTTAATAAACAAATGATATACATTTTAATCAATTTGTTAGCCATTAAGTTGGACCGTAATGTTAAGCATAAAGAGTTTATAGGAAACTTCTGAAATTAAACGAAAATGTGAAGCCTAAATCTAAACCGCAGACAAGAGGTATTATAAGATTCTACCAACCATTAAAGAAGAAATGTATGAAACTAGGACACAAAATAATGCTTTACATTGTCATTTCAAACAGGGTAAACAAGCGGTCTTCATCATGCAGCAGACTGGAATATGATTAGAGATTAAAGTTTCATTTGGGATGACTTTTTTTACTACTTCTTAAAATAACTAAAAAATTAAAATTTTTATACTAAAAAGCTACATCAATAAGCAGTAAAAAGCCGTCCCAAACAAAGCCTAAGACTTCAGAGAAAACAATTAAGCTTATAAGAAAAATTTAGCATAATCTAGAGGCATCTTCAACAGTGCTCAACACGAAGCCAAACATTCGTAATGTTTGTGGAAAATCAAGTTATGATTCGTACAGGCAATAGTACAAGGAGAATATACATAAGTCAAAAGAGAAACTTCTAAATTAACAACAAGACTGGGTGCATCTCAGTTCATACCTGAACAGTTCGAATATCAAAAACTGGCCAATTTGCTGGGTCATGCACCTGTAACAATAATTTCTTGTGCATTAAAACATCTTCTGCCCTCTCTACATTCACGTCCAATGCATAACTATCAAAATGAACATAACAGTTTAGCTATTGAAAAAACCACTAGCTTTAGACTGATAAGACGTCAAAATCTTTTCCTTCAATATCGAAGGGTTTTCTCATACGAATGAGATCCTCTACAAAGAACAAACCAGGCTCAAGAAAAATTGGTAAATTTTGAAGAACATCTGGGAACTTAACATTAAAAATTTGATAAGAAGGTATCAATCTCCTTGCAAATCAATCTATGCATCAAGAATAGACCAGAAAACCAAGAAATTCTAATTGGCAATCAGAATACAAAACTTCCAGTGTTCCACTAGTAAAACTTTTAACAATAATCTAAGTTCACCTAAAAGGAATCAAAACAGAAAGACAATTTTTTTTTTTTTAAGTCCATCTATAAGATACAAAGAGTTAGCGTAAAAGCAATAAAAAACAAAATACCCATAATTTATACTTAAGTCATGAATCACACATCATCCATCATAAAACATGGAAAGGAAACTAAGAAATCCTGGGGAGTAGAGAGTTAGTATTTGGCAGACTTATTGACGTTTGATGCAGAGGGAAGAGAAAACCCCATGAGAAAAAGATGCACGGATAATAGTCCCAATATGAAATTGGCATTGAAGGAGGAGAAACTGATATGCCCTGGAAGTGAAAACAGTGAAAGAAATAAGAGAAAACTGCAGGAATACCCCAAACGATGGCTGATTTTGAATTATAACCACATGGAGCCTGTATGTGAGTTAGCCACTCCTACACCTTGCTTGACCATGTAGAAGATCCAAAACCCATGGGAGCCACAAGCTACATAAATCACTCGATCTAGTCTGAACCATCGACTCCCACAACACTTATTAAAGAGTGTCTACTAACAAAGCCAAGCATGATACACCAATAATCAAACTCATTTTCAACCCAAAAGGTTAAATATACAAGAGAGTGTCAATCTATTGATACATTAGTATATTTTACACCTATCTAATGTGAGACTAAACCACTATTCTCATGTGCCTCAACACCATCGAGACAATATATATCATCTATTTATGCTATTAAAGAAGTAAATTGGCCGAGAGTTCAGTTGAACACCTAAACAATTTTGTAGAATCTACAATAGTCAAGTGCCATTAAACAAGACCAAAATTAGATGTATCATGAGAAAATAAATCACTGATACAAGTTACATATTCATCATAGAGAAAGTTGTAGATGGTAAGAATTCAATCTAGAATATTTACATCCTTCCGATAGGCCAACAAAAGTGATCCAAATTTATAGTGTTCAAATAATGCCTAAAGCTAGGTGATGTTTGCAGCCACTGATGACATTAAAGGATTGGGTAAGGAGGAGGTAAGGAAGATTCATGTTTTAACTTGATAATCCACTGTTTTCTTGAATTGAGATAGAATATTTGATGCAACAACAACAACAACAACATCAACAACATCAAGCCTTTGTCTCACTACGTGAGGTCGGCTACATGAATCTTTTTTCTCCATTGTATCCTATTAAAAGTCAAATTCTTATTTAAATCTAATAAAGAAATATCATTTCTAATATTTTCTAACCAAGTCTTTTTAGGTTTACTCTACCGGGTAATCGGAAGGCCGTCGTTTTATGTGACCAAAGCATCTAAGGCGACTCTCTCTAATCTTATCTTCCACTAGAGCTACTCCAACCTTTTCACGTACATGCTCATTTCGTATCCTATATCTCAGGGTAAAGACACTCATCCACCTTAGCATCCTCATCTCTGCAACACTTAGTATTATGCTTCTCTTCTAATGGACAACATTCGGCACCATAAAGCATTGTTGGTCTCACCACCATCTTATAGAATTTTCCCTTAAGTTTGAGGGGGACTTTTCCATTACATAACAAGCCCAATGCATTCCTCCACTTCAACCATCCAACTTGAATTCTGCTGATAATATTTTCATCTATTTCACCATCACTCTGAACAATAGATCCAAGATATCTGAAACGTGTACTCTTACTACTGACTTGATTGCCCAAAGTCACAATCCCCTCACTAGATCTATTACTACTAAAATTACACTCTATATATTCAATTTTAGATCTACTCAAGCGAAAACCTTTAGACTCTAAGGTTGAACTCCATAATTCAAGTTTACCTTCAACTCCCTCTCTAGTCTTATCAACAAGAAGAATATCATCAGCAAAAAACATACACCAAGTTACATCTTCTTGCAAATGTCTAGTGAGAACATCCATGACTAAAGCAAAAGGATATGGGCTTAAGGCTGATCCTTGATATAATCCAATCGAAATAGGAAAATAATTGGTCAAACCACGTTGTGTTTGAACACAAGTAATACCACCTGCATACATATCTTTAATGATTTGAATATAAGCGCTATTAACTCCTTTCTTTTCAAGAACTCTCCATAGCACTTCTCTTGAAATTTTATCATATGATTTTTTCTAAATCAATAAATATCATAAGTAGATCCTCCTTATTCTCTCTATATTTCTCCATCAAACCTCTCAATAAATGTATGGCTTCCATAGTAGACCTACCCGGCATGAATCCAAATTGATTTTGAGAAACATTAGTATCCTACGCTCCATAACTCGCTCCCATAGTTTTAAAGTATTATGATTGTATATAATCTTGAAGGGAAGTTTAAAAACTTTTCCCTTCAAAATGTTTATTATCCTCTTCCCATATATTAAGGATACATTTTTGTTGCTTCCTATAGAAATTAGCCAAGGGATTGAATAGGGAAAAATAATATCTATGAAAATATTAACAATCATAAAAGATGCGGATGTGTTTTTTCTTCTTGGCCAAAAATTTGAGGTAAGAAATGAAGCAATCATAGTAATTTCCTAGATACCAAAAAAGCATGGCTAGGCTGTGATATTCTACACTTGGTAATTAGATGATTTGGGTAGTTTCTCATATCAAAAACAGAGGAAATGATAAGTCGGCTGCTTCTTCTCTCAATAATTGAGGGAAAATAAAAAAAGAAGAAGAATATCATTTGGTAAGATGTACAACTCTCCTTGTTAATTAACTTGAAAGAGGGGGTTGTGATATGCATGCAAATTTTGCTTATTTGTAGTCCTCCAACTTTTGGTAATTGATTTAGAGAGCCTCCTTGCCTCATGGATATAGGTAATTCTTGGTCAAATCATATAGATTAGATGCCCACTTTTCTATGTTATTTTTTCATCTCCTTTATATTTTGATTGGTGTTGCAAAAAAATTGCTCCTGAGTTGATCTTGCCTCCTTTGAGCCACTAAGAGAGGTAATTTTGGTCATTTATTTCAACAGTGCATAGAACCCCAAAAATAGCTCCTAATTACTTCCAATCATTCAAAAATGGATGACAACATCCATAGCAGGACAATCCTCAAGCAACAAGATTCAAAAAAGATAAGGATCTTTCAAGTTCTACACTTTGATTGACAAGAAAAACAAAACACCCTCAATCGAGAGGTATTTTGGTTCATCATAGATCTCAAAAGGATAGCTCATCAATTCACTGTATGCCTCACAAGGTAGGACCTATAAATCCACGATAGGGGCAAGGTAAAGATTACTATGGGCTCTCTCTCTCTCTCTCACCTTTCATTTTCAAGAAAAACTTCTATTGAGTTGGCTTCAACTCTTATTCACATTGAAGCTCAAATGTGGGCTTGAGCATTGGAAGCTCTCCCTTAGAAAAAAATCATACAATTAACTCACTGGCCTTTTATTTCAAAAGGTAGGACCCGCTGAATATTCATTTTGCTTCTGGTTTACGGGTGATGGAGTTGTTTGGCTTTCGATTTTTGATCTTGTGAGCTACCTATCTTCAAAAATTTCAATCGTAAGCCTGGGTTTTAACGTTCAAGAAAAGGTTTGCTTGTTTTAATTTCATGCCTATGCTCACTCCTATGTTTAAAACCGTAGAATTACTTGCCGTTTAACTTTAGCATCGTAAAAAAAAATTACGAGAACAAGTAAAACAGAGATTTTGAGCTATTCGAGATTCCAGGTTTTTCAATAAAGACGTGTTTTTTGGACAATTATTTTCTGCATGTCGATCTTGATAATTCATTTGTAATGTTGATGGTAAGCGTGACGAAGGAAGAAGGTTAGAATGCTAATGCAGATTTTGGAAGACCCAGCCCTTCAGCCACGCGCGTGGTAGATTATCATTTGCCCAGGTTCATCATAATTGATAAGTTGTACCTCGCACAGTTTCTTACACCAAAATTTATCCTCAGGACTCCTAAAGCCCTCTTGGAAATATTGTTCCAATCGTCGTTACCAGAAAATTTGAAATCAGAACCAGACCAATGTAATCTTGAGGCTTAATCAAACCTCTTCCAATACAGCAAGAACGAAGATGAGAATCAACCAGACCTTTAACCCGACAGCTTAAATTTTTTCTTGACGAGAATATGACTTTAACAGTGGTTACAGCGTAAATTTTTGTTTTATCTATCACCCTAATAAGTCATTAATTATCGACTCTAGGGTGAATAAAACAAGGAGATGAAGCAAGCCAAAAAAATAAATCTAATCCTCGAGGTCTCACTCTCCTCATCCACCTCCTCCTTGACGACTCCTAACGAGGTCCCTTCAGCCACCTTTCACAGGAGCCAACTTAGGCAGCATACAAGCCCAACTAGTATCCCCAACAGAAGAGCAAAACAAATATATATAGAGAGAAAAAGAGAGGTAATGGAAACAGGATTGCGTGTCAGAGACGAATGGGTTCAACGATTACCGCACGGGGAGACGATTGAAATGCGCCCAGAGTTCTTCCTCGAAGGACGGAGAGAGTGTCTCTGGGCAACCTGCGTCTTTGAGCCGGCAGAGCACCTCGTGATAGACCTCCAGTTTACGATATTTCCACTGCTTCTGCGAGGATTTCGCCGGCGAAACCCAGCCCCCAGAGCTCTCAACGTCGTCTTTCGCCATTGAACAGTCACGGCCCTCCGGAACGCAGAAAAAAAATAAAAGAAATCGCAGAAGGCGTGCAGGAAGGAGCAGAGAAAAGAACCGTTCGGCCAGTAAGAAGTCGCTTACAAAAAGGGGAGTGGTAAACAAGAAGATTGAAATAATAAACTAGCAAATGAAATGCCACCAGGATAAAAATTTGTCGGAGAGAGGCGAACCGAGAAGCCTGCAACAGAGGGCGACGACAGGCGTGGCGGAGGGGCAGTGAGTTTTGCGTGTCCCCTCTGGCCCGTTTATTTGACTTTTGACAAGGGTTTTTTTTTTTTAATATTAGGTGGATAATTGGATATTATCTAATCTGATTTTCCCTAAAAATCAATAATTAATAATTAATAAGAATAAAATAATTCGATATTTTCATCACGTAATATTTCTGCAATTTTTTTATACGCAACACTTTGAGGGTTTTGATAAATGATTAACTGATAAAAAATAACATATTATTAAAGGTTTGTTAGAAATGCTTTAGTTTTAAAGCATATAAGTTCATGTTATATTGATATGCTATCTAGAGAGGACTAAAAAGTCAAATCCATTATAAAAAAGTCTTATACTTTAACCTCAAGTACATAAAAAGTTAATAAAAATAATTTTTATATTATAATTTTGAGTAATTTGCAAGGAAATGACACTTATTTTATTTTAATAATCTCTTTTTGCATACATAGTCATACATAAATACAATTAAAATAATTATTATCTCATGCGAGAAAGAGAAATTTTAATCATCTTTATTATGAATGATATCTCAACATAATAAGAAAATAAAGTTAAGTGATCATAAGATATAAGATTTTTATGGTGAAAAAATACATAAACAATTATGAATTAGAAAAGGTTGTGATTCCCCAACTTGGAGAAAGTGTCAGAAAAAATGTAAAAAAAAAATATTACAAATATCCCTAATATTGGCACTAGAATAAAGCTAAGTATTAGAATAATTCACCTCCAAAATATGAAGACGGCAAGACCTAAAGTTGGTTAAAATGTGTCATAAAAATTTTTTGGAGACCATGGAATGTGGTTAGGTAGATCCTCCTCTTAAATTAAATGTGGAGTAAATAATAAGAGAATGCTAAAGGATCATGCAGGGCAAATTATTGGGTCAGGTGACCGAACGCAGAGATAGGTTCGGATAATAATAAAATATTATTTTAAAATTAGCGCAACTAAAGCGCAACTAAAGCGCAACTAAAGCGCAACTAAAGCGCAACCAAAGCGCAAGTCAAAAAGCGCAACTAAAGCGCAACCAAAGCGCAACTAAAGCGCAACCAAAGCGCAACTAAAGCGCAAGTCAAAAAGCGCAACTAAAGCGCAAGGTGACGCGGCAAATTTTTATTGGCTGTCCGAACTTATCTTTTGGCTCCGGTTACCTGACCCAATAATTTGCCGATCATGCAGATGATTGTAGTAGGTGAAGAGAACCTCCTAGAAGAGGTTGCAGTAAAATTCCAAGATGGTGGTGATATGATGTAGGAAGTTCCTGGAAGCTATTAGATATTGTTGGATTAATTGTCCCTTATGACATAAAGGCATATTTGAGATGGTACTTGAGAGTTATAAACGACTTTGTGGATAGCTAGGACGATCCTCTTTTTAGAGAGCGATGCAACACGTCTTGAAAGAATCTTTGATGCAGTATAGTAGATGTTTTAAATATCCCCTAAATTGGTGACAATGAAAATACGAAGGTATTGTTATGAAGGGTGGTTATGATATTCTCTCTCCTTAAATAAATAGGAGAGATTGATTAAATCTAGGTTATCATAATCTAAATTGCATGCTAAAAAAATAGTTTTCCTTCAATTATATTACATATGCATAAAATGGCTAATCATAGGATGTCCCTTTGTTATCATCTAACCATAGGTGCTATATTGCTTTTTCAAGTAAATATTGCCTTTAGCTTTTGGGTGAAGTTATTCATCCAATTTGATAATTTGTCATATTTTAAGTATCCCAACTTGGAAAATCATGCCAAGGCCTAAATTTAAATTTAGGCTTAATTAGAGAAAGTCTGTTCAAGTAAAACTGATCATAAGATATTATCTTAATCACAATTAGAGAAGTTAGAGTAACTAAAATTAGTCATCAGTTATCATTCATATATAGATCCCAAATTTTCATTTCATGAACTATGAGAAACTATAATAAGAAATTAGTCTTATGATAATATCAAGAAAAAATTCTTAAATAGTATGTATGTGTAATTGGATTTACTCATGCGGGTCACAAACTTAAGCTTAACCTCAAGAAAAGTCCTAAAATCTTAATGCATATACTATTAAAAAACTAGTTTAAATAAATTAATCTTGAAACTACAGTTGAAGCAGAAGTCCAAAGAGAAGTGTATTTTAAACAAATATTTAGATATCCTGAGAGTATATCTATGAAATATGTCATAATCAGGTATTTTGAGCTTCTTCACAAATATAACAAATTTTATGAATCATATAATACATCATTAAACAAAGTTAAATTTCTTGACAAGTCCTAAGAACCATCATAGGCACCATTGAATAAAGCTTGATTTCATATAAAGTCCAAAGAATCATCTTAGGTGTCATTTAACAAAGCTTTTTTTATATAATATGTCCTTGGTAAATACCTAGGCACCATTAAACAAAGCTTAATTTCATATTTGATTATAGAATATTATCTTAGGCATTAGTAGACCAAGAAACATATTTATTAGATTAACGCTTTATTTGGGAAAGCTTTCTTATTGATTCTTAAACCAATTTGTTAGTACAATTAAAAGTTGCTTCAATAAGCTATAAGAAAGCCGTCCCAAATGAAGCCTATATTTGATATTTCTATGATTTCTCAAATGCCTTCAAGTGATGCTTTGAGTCAGTGAAAATTCACCATTGAATTTTGATACACCCACTGAATATCAAAATATTACTAAAATTTAATGAAAATTAGGCATATAATTATATCACACGCACAAACCAAGTAGTGAAATACAGCAATGTAGGACACCAATATTTTTGTTTTAAATTATTCATGTCAAAAAATGCAATTTACTCTTGCATGAATTGAATAAATTGAATGATAAATGATTTTGAAATATGTGAAATTTAGCTTTTTCCCCTAATTTCATATATATAAGTCCAAAATTCCATGAATTTGACTCAGCACAATCCATATTAGGCTAAACTATATAAACTGGTGGAATAATGTGTCCATCCTACCGAGCAGCATTTTGGCATCTAATTAGATACCTAACATTACAGATACTTCTCCTGATTTGTCTATTAAAGACTAAGTAAGAGTAGCTTCAATTATGTTTTCTGAGAGTTCATTTGGGATCACTTTTATTTGTTATTTTTATTTTTAAGAAAATTTATTGTTTAGTATGTTTTTTTACAAGCTATTATTTTTATTTCAAAAAATCAAATTTTTTACAAGAAATAATCCAATTTTTTTAGATTTTATTATTTTAAAGATAGATATCATCTGACCATTGCTCCTGCTAAATTTGACCACCACCACAAATGATGTTGGACACCAATAATGTTGCTACTGGTGAGTATTACTGGATGTTATCAGTGACCACTTCTATCACAATCCAACCCGACCAGGACTTGTCCTATAGTGTTGAGTTGTGGGAGGCAAATCCCAAGATCTAGTTTTGAAAATTTTACAATTTTTTTTGTCAATATTCATTGAAATAAACTACCGACCACATAGCAACTAAATGTCCAAATACTAAAAATAAACTCATCCACCAGGTTTCTTTCATTTCATCAAAATAAATATCTACACCATAATACATGGCTACAGGCAAGAGCTACAAAACTTAAAATTTAACTAGTCATGACTTTACAAAAATCAAAATAGCAAATTACATATGACCTCAGATTTGATTCTGAACTCCTAGTCCACAATCTCCTTCCCCTTCTCAAATTCTGGAAATCATAATCAAAACCATAGTGAGCTACATCAGCTCATCAAGGTACACAAATCAATCTAAATTTTTAAATATCCTTTTATTAAATATTTTGTTGAATATTTAAAAGTAGTTAAATGCATTTTAAACAAATCACTATACTGAGAGATGTAATAAATGATAACAATTATTTCTTGATTTAAATAACAATATTGAATAAATAAGTAAATTGAAATTCATATCACATAATAGTTCATATCACATTTCCCGAATTCATACAAAATCTCAAAAAATTATAGCCTCTTATGACTTCCCGCAATTCCCTAGCACATACAAATAGAATTTAGAGAATTCTAGCCCACGTGTAGGTCAATCAACTCGGTCACATGTCTATAACAACCTATAATTAATCATATCATACATTATACTTTATATTAAATTTTATTTTTCAAGATATATCATTTCCTATAGCACTCTAAACCATATGAATAAATGATAAAGAGGCATCTTTACAATCTCGGGAGCTTTTTGATTTCTTTGAATCTTTTGACATATTTGATCTTCTTATTTTTTTTTTAATATTCTCTAATATTCTCTAAAGAGGCACATAGAGCTAGCTTTTAGTCACCATACTCACTTGAATCCCATTCAATTCGTGGCTCCTACCAAGAGATTATTTGTTTATAAGGTCAATTATCATTCATGAGTAAATTTGGATCTAAAATACATATACAATACTCAAAATTTATTTCTATATTTAACACAAATTTTATTCTTTACTTACATAATACTTACGCCTTACATTGCTAAAGAAAGTCATCGTAAATCTTACAAAGGCAAAACAGATAGCAACATAGCTCCCTAGGAAAATTCATCAATGGTAGTTAAAAGAAGAATATTTAAATAAATAATAAATTAAAATATTAAAATATAAATTAAGAATTTAAAATATTATACATTATAAAGAAATAATTGGTTTTGTGAGTCTGGAAGATGAACAATTATTACGTCCTCCGACCGGATGTAGAGGAGCGTCCGGTCAGAGGCCAAATCGCGCCAAAAAATGAGAAATACCGAGCAAATACCGAGCAATACCAAACAATAACGAGGAGTACCATCACGTGAAGACCCAATACCGAGTTATACCGAGCTATACCGAGCAATACCGAGTTATACAAAAGTTGTACCGAGTTTTTCCTAAAAAAACTCGGTACAACTCGGTATAACTCGGTATTGGTCTTCATAGAGCGGTATTCCTCGTTATTATCAAATAATATCTAGCAATACCTAGCAAATACCAAATTTTTTTGACGGAATTTTGCCTCCAATC